CCAAGTATCTCTGTCTTGTGTCCTGGTATGGTCGACTTTTTCTGTACACCGGGTTTTTGGTTTTGAGGTTTTGGTGGCCTTTATTTCTTTTGGGTTTTTGTTTGTTTTTGTTTTGTTTTGTTCTGTATGTTTGTTTGGTTGTTGTTGTTTTTCATGGGGGGGGGGGGTGTGGTTTTTTTTGACGATTGCCGAATCGGGGGGGGTGTTGGTTTTTTTTGGTTTGTTTGTTGTTGTTTTTTTTAGAGGGGATGAGGTGTATTTTTTGCATTTCCTTTTTCTCGCGAGCTACTTGAATTCGAGATTTCCGCGACTTGTAAACAATCTGCGAATTCAAGTCTTTCATGAAATGTTAGAAAAGGCACTACTAACTGCATTGGAGCCCAATAACTTAAAGAAAGTTGTGTATTGCTTACAAGATCCATCACTTTCTCTAGAATTCCGACAAAACATGCAACCTTAATGTCACATCTGAGTGCGCTGGTAAAACATACACTGCATGATCCACGTGTGTAAACCCGACGTGGTGTTTTCTTTGAACTTGTTTTTCTGCTCTGCTCGCGGCATTGGAGTTCCAGAGCAAGTAAAGAGAGCGAATGCCAGGCTCCTGTTTGTTTGATACTTCAAAGAGCACACTCTGAGCGCTGTTGCATCACAGCAGGAAAATATTTTATTTGAAACTACTTCGATTACTTTCTGCAACTGGGCTTTTATCTCAGTTCTTTTTCTTTTTTTTTTTTAAATCTGTGATAATTTACAAGGGGGGGGGGGGAGCATTTTCTTGGACAGGACTTTCAGAAATTCTAATTTGGTGATTCGTTTCTTCTCTAGTTTTGCATTCAGCCCTTCTCTTACTGACTCTCAGCCAACAAAGCAATTAAAATCTGTATCATTTTCATTTTCTTCTTTTTCTGAGCTAAGTATAATATTTATGGAACGGTACATAACTTACAGAGCTCAGTATCGGACTGTACACGTTGTGAGCCTTCAACGAATACCCAAATGCTTGAGAGGGGGAGGGGGGGGGGTGCAGCCCACTTTACGGTCAAGGTTGCTACGCCCCTCATACTTCCAGTCTAGATCTACATTTCTACTGGGAATTGACTGCTTGCTTCAATATTTATAGAGCACAGCTGTGCAGTGCCGCTCAAAAAAAATTTAAAGCTCTATTACATAAAGTACCCACATACTTGGGAAAAAAAAATCTAGAAACAAACACTAGCCAAATATTTCAACAAAACAAGGTCCTCGCTGGCGCCATAACTATCATTTCTGTCACTATAGCGCCGTAAAACACCTTCTATGCCATGCCAAAGTCCACGCGCCTTTATCTAAACATTATACATTTTATAGCCTAAGGGCGAAAACATAGAGAACGCCGATTTCGGAGACTGACTCAGTAAGCGCCGATAGGTATAAAAATTCCCTTATGATTTCCAACTTGTTCCACATAGAGCTGGCAGACTGCAGGCAGCTTCAAGCTCGGATCGGCGTTGTCGGCTTTATCGGAATCCAAACTACATCCTTATTACACCGAAAAAGTGGAAAGGCGCCTCGCTGTCAACTCGCGACCGCAGTGCTTTCTTGTCGTATCTCCATTTTTAACAGTGAAAATGTGACTTCTTCTTATGCTCACTCTTTGTTGTGAACTGCTTTCACTGTTATTAAAAATGTAGATATGACAAGAAAGCGCTGAGATCGCGAACTCTCAACTCTCAATGCCGTCTCCCAGTCGCCAACTCGGGTTGAGCGGTTTGCGTGACGTCACCCGACTGGACAGGGGGCAATTTTATAGGGCCATTTCACAGCTGGTGCTCCACGGTAGACAAAAACTAATTACATTTTTTAAATCAACGCCGTCAAAGTAGGCTTGCAATCGAGCAAAATTACATTTTTAGCAATATTTTAGGAATTTTGGTTTTTTTTAATCGCAAAATAAAGGCTTCATAAATACCATCTGCGTTGTGGTGTAATTTTTTTTTATATATCTAGATCTAGGCTTTAGGCGCCTTCTATGTGGAGTCAAGCAGACACCTACTAGCGCCTGTCCGCGTCGAACTTCAGCCGCTTAAGTTTCGGCGTTCTCTATATTTTCGCTCTAATATTCAACAGTGGTAACCTGACCTATAAATCGCTCTTTGGAATAACCCAAGCGATGACGTCACATGAAGCGAGTTTGGCGGTAGGCCTACATAAATATTAATAAGACGGCACAACTGTGCACCCACAAAACATAGCCCACAGTAGGCACTCTAAAAAAAACGCGATACACTGTATAGTATTCTACGCCAAAATTATGTAAGCCCCGGAGCAATCCAGTAGAATGCTCAAGTGAATTGTGATTGGTTCATTGTCTTGACTGTTAATAATTTATTTATAGAGGCACCAGCCATCCATTTGGTTCATTGTTTTGCCACTATTTTAAGTGACCCTGTGACCGTGAACCTGAGGGGGGTGAACATGACATACTTAAGTCACTGTCCTATGAATTGTGTCTTTGAATAGTTTTGTAGTGGAATTATGAAAGTTAATACCTAAGGGTTCAGTTCCAATATAGCATGAGCAAAATTGATGTTTAGCTAACAAACATATTTAGTTCTACTAGAAGTCTAGAAATCAAAGCGACAAGTAAAAAGAATGAAAATAAAAGCATAAGGTCCTCCTTCAGGAACCCAAAGATCCTAAAATTATACACCATCCCATTTACTATATCCCCTGACTATCTTCCACCTACGATAGCTTAAATTAATTGTGCACGCCCACTTTTTAGCCCCTGCTTCTAAAGAACCTGCAGCATTTGTGGCTGGTTTCACCGGCATAATGGTAAATGCAAGACAGTCGTCCACAGAAAGCAAAATAAATTGCAAATTGAGTCATTTTCCTGGTATAAATATATTTCTTTCAAAAACAAATAAAAATCACGCTTGTGACAAGTGAAATTTATCAACTAACGAGTATCGAGCATTAAAGAATCGAGCGCAAGTTGGGACAGGCGGATAATATTCGCTCGTCCAACCACGTAAACCGTACGATCTTTGAGTGTGTGAAAAACCCACATCACAAATTCAAAATGTACGCGAAAAACGAAATAAACAAAACACGAAGAATAAAAAAAAACCCCGCAAAACCGGCATATTTCAAAAGACTAGGTTCTGGTTGAGTTGTGATCTCAAAGTAAACAAATTGTACTACGCCCATTTTCTTTTTAGTGGCGTGAATATTTGCAACAAGGACTCCCGGGGTTTACCGGACGTGTCTCTTATTTGTCAACGGCATGGCACTCCATGAACCCAAAAGATTACTTGGAAACTTAGAACACGATATCCGTGAGTTTGTTTGTTTATTTGACTCGCTGTCACCTCATTCATTTAGAGTCTCGGAGTCCGTGCCCTTTGTTGCATGGACTCAGACTTGCTGCTCCACTGTGATATATCTAGATCTAGATCTATGTACTTTTTTAAAATGTCACCTTGACTTCATCGGCTTTTGTTTTGCAGAATGCAAGAGTTCTTATTCATCTGTTTCATTATGTTTGTAGGCCTATTGCCTTTTTCCCCTTTTTTGTTTGCTTAGTTTATTTTGTTTGTATTTTTGTCTTTCTCAGCTTGTTTTGTGTGGATGTGTGGATGTGTGGATGGGCGTGTGTGTGTGTGTGTGTGTGTGTGTGTGCGCGCGCGCGCGCGTGTGTGTGTGTGTGTGTGTGAGAGAGAGAGAGAGAGAGAGAGAGAGAGAGAGAGAGAGAGAGAGAGAGAGAGAGAGAGAGAGAGAGAGGCGGAAAGAGGACTGTTGGGTTGGGTTGTTTTGGGGCTGCTTGCTTGCTGTTTTTGTGAAAGGGTGTTGTTGTTGTTGTTGTTGTTGTTGTTGTTGTCATCGTTGTTGTTATTTGGAGCTGTTTTTATCATCCGTTTGTCTGCTTGTTTCTTTGAATTTTGTCGTCGTTTTTGGTTTGTTTTTGTTTGTTTTTGTTCCGGAGTTGTTTTGTTGTTGGGTTTGTTGTTTTTTTTGGTGGGGAACGCGTCTAGATCGGCAATCCTTAAACAAAACATGAAACGGCATTTTGGTGATGTTGAAAGGCGAATCTTTTATAAAGCTTTAGGAGGGCGTATAACATCAAAAGTTCTCACAATTTGGACTTAAGTGGCTTGGTTGCGACAACTAGTTTCAGCTTTCATTGTCAGAAAAAAGATGTGTCCAGAAACGCATTCTCCTCCGTTGCACATTCTAAAAATAACATGTGGCGCCCTCGCCTAGCTGTGTTTGTGTGCTCTGATGTCACGTAACGATTTATATATAAAAACGAGATAATCTGGCATGTTTTCAGTATTTAACAGCTGAGTGCACTTCAAGAGAGGTTACGTTTGTCTTGATATTATTGAAAAGGTATATTTTTGTTTGTTTTTAAGTTCATAAAGTTCGTTTATTATTTTTGCTTTGTTTTTGTTTGTTTATTAAACTGTTCTTCAAGCACTTTTTAAAAATCATATTCGAGACGTTGTATGCCACTGTAATTACTTTTCTTCTTTTTAGCACATGTTTTGAACCCACGATATGCTCGGTGACATGGCCGATCATCAAGGGAATAATTCAATTTAAAAATCCATACCAATGCCAATACTAACTTGCAATTTGTGCGAGAAAGAGAGAGAGAGAGAGAGAGAGAGAGAGAGAGAGAGAGAGAGAGAGAGAGAGAGAGAGAGAGAGGGGGTGGCAGACAGACAGACAGACAGACAGACAGACAGGCAGGCAGGCAGACAGAGAGAGAGAGAGAGAGAGAGAGAGAGAGAGAGAGAGAGAGAGAGAGAGAGTGAGAGAGAGAGAGAGAATCGTTTTAACACAAAGCAATCAAAAGACTTTAATAAATATAACGAGTGAAGTTTGAGGCCGAACTGTCTTCATTCTGGGTAGTTTAAAGTGTATTGGAATCAACCGAAAAGAGGGGGGGGAAGAGAAAGTAGATATCTAAGTGACGGCTATGCTAATAAAATTTAACTTATTATACTCACCTCGTAACCAGGCAGCCCTATGGACATGAGAAAAATCCTACCACTGGGTTTGTTTTCCAGCAGTTTCCGTAGCGCTCCGGCCGCACTAAGTCTGATCGATGAAAAACGTTAAACGTACGTGCTGTGCAGTAAAGATTTCTTCTGGATAGAATAAACTGAAGCCAACCTCCCCCACCCCACCCCTCT